AAACCACGTATAAAACGTATTTACGTAATACGTCTTCTGTTATAAACCGTATTCACGGAATGCGGTTTTTAAAAAAAATATTAGTCAACTTAATTAACGTAATTAACTTAATTAAAATATAGAAAAACGTATTAGCGAAATACGTTTTCAATTAAAAAAAATAGAAAATGTAATGCTTGAATACGTTTTCAAATTAAAATAATTTTACATTTATTTTTTAATCATACAACGTATTTCACAAATACGTTTTCCAAATAAAATTAATTTTTACTATTATTGCAAATAATATTTTTAGAAAAAAAAAATTAAAATATAATATGTATTTTGCAAATACGTTTTTTGTGAAATTTTGCCCCGAATTGATATTGCTGCCCTAATTTTAGCCCTAAATTTTCAAAGAAAACGTATTGTTGAAATACGTTTCTTGTAAAAAAAAATAAAAAACTGATTTCACTAATACGTGTTTAGCAAAAATCCTATTCACAACCACATATACCTGTTCACAACCAAATACACTTGTTCGAGCAATTATTATCAACATATTCGCCCAATAACAATCCAACATACCATATAAACAAACAAATGAAACACAATAATTTGTTGAACAAACAATATATTCAAAACGACATAATTCAGTTTACACATACAATCCAATCATTCAAAATAAACATAAAAATCACGAATTCAACACAACTAACTAGGAGGAGTGTATGGAACTTTAGTCTTGCGCGGTCTGAACCCCCTCCGAGTATATACCATGTGAGAAGAAGATGAAGGTTGAGGTGTGAGAAGCGTGTCAGTTTGAAAAGCCTGCTCATTTTCATCTTCTTCATCTGAGTAATTCAATTGAAAAAAGAAACCATAAATTGGACTTGAAAAAAAAAAGAAATTGTTAATTTAAAAATCTCACCTTGTTGAGGCTCAGTCTGCTCAGGTTGGAGGTGCTGGGCGGACGGCTGAGCGCGGGGACGGGCCCGAGGTCTTCTACCCCCACCAATGTTCGGGGCGGGTCGATGCCTGGTCGTGTGTGACTGTGTCCTCATGGGGGGAATGTATTCGTCCTGGGAGAAAACTTGACTGGACGGCCCCCCATGTGGAACACCCTGCCCCCAACAGTCAGAGAAGAGAAGGCAAAGTTGTATGACTGTTGGAAGCCGGTCTGCGCTTCTGGAGGGATTTGAGACATTAATGGTTGAATGTCGGATAATGCGCCATAAACCCCTTGTAGTGCAGAAGTGTGTAAATAAAATTCATAATAATTAGTATATGAAACACAAAAAATAATAATAATAATAATAATAATAATAATAATAATAATAATAATAATAATAAACACAAATAATGAACACTTACCTGACAGCCTAACTGCTCGGCAAGTGGCTGATAACCGCCCGCCTGCTGGAACACCGGGTAATTGGCAGGGTTATTGATGAATCTCACAGTCCTGCTGTGAAACCATTCAAGGTAACCCTTGTTCCGGCTGCAGATAGTCGTACACAGGGGCAACTGGGAGGAGACGTTGTTCTATTTCTTCGTTCCACGAGCTCAGAAACGGCACATGGAATGCGGCTCAGTCATAAAACGCCCTCTCAGTCATCCCC